AACACATCAACATTTTATGGCTGACACCTGTGAGTAAGAAGGCTTTCTGGCTGACGTGGAACCTTCTGAGGAAGAAATTTAACTCATACCACAGTTTCAGGAGTCCCGGTGAGGCACCGTGGAATAAAGCACTGGAATGCAAGATCGGTTTGAGCCACAAGGTTGGTGTTTCAAATTCACCAGCCACTCCTTGGAAACCCTCTACAGGGTCGCTGTGAGTTGGAACGGACTTGAAGGCACTTAAGGACAACAACCAGTCTGGACGGTGGTGTTTGTAAAGTGATCCAGAACTACTCTTGCAAATCCTAGGAATTTATGGCCCCAAAGCTCCCCCATCACATGAAAACACATGACCGTATACACACACACACACACACAACATACACAGTTGCTGTTGAGTCAGTTCTGACCATGGCGATACTAGAACTGTGCTCTATAAGGTTTTCAGGGTTGTGATCTTTCAGAAGCACATCGCCAGGACTTTCTTTTGATGCATCTCTGGATGGGTTCGAACTGCTCATCTTTCAGATAACAGCCGAGTGCTTAACCATTTTCACCACCCTCATCCATACCCCCAATACCAGACAGATTCTCTTCCAGCCAGACTTGAACTTAAAAGGCTCTCCTATGAGTTGGCGCTCTTGTTGCCACGAGGTGCTCATGAATGAATCTTTGCTCAGCTGATAGAGAAGCGGTATCACTCTCCCCTGGTGTTTCCACTTTGAAAGTAGTTTCTCCACAGAGCACTCATGGTAGGATTTCAGACCTGGGCAGGGGGGCAGGAGAGACTTTTTGGCTTTATTTTGGAAAGTGGAGACTTTTCCAGAGCTGCTTAAATTCTAGCATACAGAATCCTACTTTGTGCCCCAGGATGAGGGGAGTAGGAGGGTGGGAGACTCCGCTGTGAGGGTTGGGGAGAGATGGCAGCTTATCTTAAAGGTGGCTTCCCATCCTTCGTGAGAGGCTGGGCAACAAGCAGGACATGGTTGGGGTTGGGGAGTCGCATTACTCAGCTTGAGAGCAGTCAGCTCTGGGAGCAGGGCAGCGTTTACTGTAAATTTCTGCTTCTGCTCAAAGACTCCCACTCATCTCTGACCTAGACTTGCTTCTTGAGTAGAATTGTGATTCATCCTCAGGCTCATGAACATCCTCACTGTGGCCTTTCACCTCAGGAAAGTCACCAGGAAGAAAGTGGGTCTAAGAGAAATGAGCGGTGTAGGGGTCTGGATACAGATGGTGAGTTTAGGAGTCCCTGGGTGGTGCGAGCTATTAATGCAATCAGTGGCTACCTGAGTAAATCAAGTCCACCAGAGGTCCCTTGTAAGAAAGGTGTGGAGATCAACTTTTGAAAAGCCAGCCATTGAAAACCCTGTGGAGCAAAGGGCTACTCTGACACACATGCAAGCAACACGTCAGCAGCATCAACCCAATGGCAACTGGTGTTTTGGTCCCTTGTTGGGAGAGCACATCACGGTCTTAGTTTTCCAGATGAGGATGTGGAGGACTGGCTAGGGGCAGAGAAGAACCAGCACTCAGGTCAGTTGGGCCCTAGAAGTGCTTAGTGTCAAAAAATGCAGCTCTAGGCACTGCCAGCTCTCCACATTTCTCTCTCTCCCCTACCTTTATGCCGGTGGTGGGACAAGGAACTTGTTCCGGAGTCTTTGCTGCTTATCGTTGAAAACCACTGGGCGTTCTCGGTGGCCTCACTGCTGGGGAGGGACTTTTTATATACAGCTCAGTCTAATTACTCATTGAGTGCCTAAGTCCTTCTGGGACATGCATCCAAATTTCATTCATTCATTCAGCCAGCACATTTCACGGGAGTAGCTGCTCTGTGCCAGGCTGGGCATTCAGAGTCTAGCGTTGTGAGTTTCAAGTTGTCCCAGTTAATTATCCAGTCTCCTTGCTCCCTCCTGAGGCAGCTCATGCCATCCTGGATGAGTGGAAAACTAAACAAAAACTCACTGTCACTGAATGGTTTCCCATTCATGGGCGCCCCACATACTAGAGAGGAGAACCGCACCCAGGGTGTAATTAACCAGATGGCAGCCTTTCATCTTTAGGTTAGTAGTTAACTTGCTCTGATGATGAGAATGCTCTTGATGATACACTGAAATCTATCTCCTCGAAGATTCTACTCACCAGTCTTAGTTCTGGCAGCTGGGGGTACATATAGAAAGTTGGCACCCTCTTTCTTAGAAATACGTCTCTGTGATGTGAAGATAGTGACACGGGGCCCCAAAAGTGTCCTAGTCAACCACACTGAGGTCCTTCAGCGTGTCTCATGTGGTATGACTTCAGAGCCTCTTGTCAACCTGTTCCTACTAGTTTCTTCACCACATTCCACAAACATTTATTGAGCTGGACTACTGGTTGAAACCCACCCAGGTACTTTGGAAGACAAGCCTGGCGATATTCTGAAAGGTCACATGTTTGAAAACCCTATGGAGTAGTTCTGCACAACACGGGGTCACCATGAGTCAGAATGAATTAAACAGCACCTGGGTACCGGGGACTGTTCTGGATGTTGTCGATACATCCATGAAAGACAGAGTCTGGTCTCTGACTCAGGGACTCACCTTTTCCTGGGGGTGTCAGACAGTAAACAGAATGGCAATCGCTGCAATGCGGAGGAGGATTTTAGCCAGATGCTGAGATGAGAAGTTCTATTTGACTTGGAGAGCAGGGCAGTCTCTCTGAGGTGGTCTCTCTCTCTTTCACACACACACACAAACACACACACACACACAGAATGAGAGGAGGGCGCCTGCAAGTACATCCAGACAGGGAGCAGAGGTAAAGCCCAGAGGAGATGGAGGAACAGGAAGGGGTCAGTGTGGCCGGGAGTGAGTGGGTGAGGGAAGAATGTGACAAGAAGGCAGCCGAGAAGTTGGTAAATGGTATAGATCTTGTGGATTGTGGTGAGAAGGATTTTGCCTGGGGAGTAACATAACATTTTAAGCTTCCTTTTGACCACTGTCTAGATAATGGGCTGTGCCTGGAGGGTGGGGACTTTAGGGTCAGGCTATTGCAGGGGCCCAGGGAGAGATGGAAGGAGTTCTGATAGCGTAGTGGTTACAAATCGGGCTGCAAATCTTAGGGTCAGCAGTTCGAAACTACCAGCCGTTCCGCGGGAGAAAGATGAGGCGTTCTGCTCCTGTAAAGATTTACAGCCTCGGAAACCCTGTGCAAGGTCGCTATGAGTTGGAATCGACTCCACGGCACATAAAACAACAGGGAGAGATGAGGAAGCCTGGATCAGAGCAGTGGCGTGTGGAGAGTATGATCTGGAGATGGAATGAACAAGACCTGGAGATTGAATTCAGAGGTGAGGGAGGAACCAGGGATGATGCTTTGATTGGAGGCTCCACATTCGACTGAAGGATAGGTTTGTTGATGAAGGTGGACAGACTGGGCAAGGAACAGATCAAGCTTTTTTTTTTGAAAGCACCGGTTCTGTGTTGCCTGTTGTCTTAGATTGGGTTGTCTAGAGAAGCAAAACCAGCGAAGCTTATATATGTGTGTATATAAAAAGAAGTTTATATCAAGGAGATAACTCACACAGTTGTAGAGCTGGGCAAATTGCAATTCCCAAGTCTGAGTCAAACCCAGATTGGTAGGCCAGGCAGCAGGCAGCAAGATGGCAGGCTGATCACTACTCCCAGGATCGGCAGGCAACAGAGCAGGCCACTGGCTCAAGTCCAAATGATAAGCCAGATGCAAGATCCTGACCCATCAGAAAGCAAGCAAGGAGACTGCCCCGAGGGTGGATATTGGCATGTGGAGTTCCCAGCAGAGCTCTGGCCCTGATGTGAGTCTGCAGAATTCCTGGGGCAGGTTGGGCTAGGGCCAAGGTCATTAACACTGTAGCTCCCCTGCTTCTTATTCATGCACCCAAGACCCATAGTTTTTTGGTCACCTGATTACCCTGTTGATTCATTCCAACTCAAGGGCAGGCTCTTTCATTTGTACTGGTTACATTTATATTAGTTTCCTATTAGGAATGTTGTATCATTTCCTAATATGAGTTTGCTGTTGAAACAAATTATCACAAACTTGGGGGCTTCAACCAACACACATTTATAATTCTATAATTCTGGAAGTCAGAAGTCTAAAATGAGTGGGCAGAGCTGCATTCCTCCTGGAGTGTCTAGGGGAGAACCTGCTTCCTTGTCTTTTTCCAGAGTCTGAAGGCTGCCTGGATTCCTGGCTTGCGACACTTTTCTTCCATCTTCAAAGCCAGTAGCATAGTATCTTCAGAACATTCTGGCTCTTTTTTTTTCTTCTCCCACTTTCTTCCTGAGCTCTGCTTCCATCCACATCTTCTCTGACTCTGAACCACTTGGACAATCCAGGATACTCTCCCCATCTTAAGATCCTTATGTAACTTAATCACATTGCTGTTGAATTGATTCTGAAACATAATGACCCCATGTGTGCAGACTTAAGTGCTGTTGAGTTGGCTCTGACTCAGCGACCCTGTATAAGATTTTCAAGGAGTGGCTGGTGAGTTTGAACCACTGACCTTATGGTCCAGTGTTTTATACTACAGCATCACATTCTATTCATTAATTAGGATTTTCAAGGATGTGACTTTTCCAAAGTAGATTGTCAGACCTTTCTTATGACAAATGTACCATTTTATGGTTCTTTAGTTCAAGAAAAGAGCTAGTCTGCTAACTGAAAAGTCTGTGGTTAGAACCCACCAGCTTCTCAGTGGAAGGTAGATGAAGCAATCTGCTTTCATAAAGCTTTACAGGCTTAGAAATCCTATAGAGCAGTTCTACTCTGTCAGTTGCTACGAGTCAGAATCAACTCAATGGTAGTGAATTGTTTTTGGTTTTGTAGCTCAGCAGTTGGATGTGGGTCTCACTGGGCTAAAATCAAGACATCGGCAGGACTGCATTGCTTTATGGAGGCTCTAGAGGACAATCCAGTTCCTTGCCTTCTAGCTCTTAGAGGCTGCCCTCATTCTTTGGCTTGTGGGACCTTTCCTCCACCTTCAGAGCCAGCAACCCCGTCTCTCTAACCCCAGTCTGTCATCACCCCTGTTCTTTATCAGTTCTCCTGCCTCCGCGTCCCCTTCCACATTTGAGGACCCAGTGATTAGCCCTGGACTCACTGGATAATTCCAGATCATTTCCCCAAGGTCAGCTGAGGAGTAAACTGATTTCCATGTGCTAGTTTAATTCCCATTTTCCACAAGTCCTGGCAATTAGGACATCTTCAGGGACCACTGTTCTGACCACAGGCCCCTCCACATCTCCTGTTCCACCTGGTAGGTACTCAGTGAAGATGCCTATCATTCTTGAGAGCTTCATCTTGAAGAAGGTGCTCACATGAGCTCCAAGTTCTATCTTTGTGACTGTTTCTCTGTCCACTGTCACTGGGGTTTCATTCCAGCTGTGGGGCTGGGCTGTACTGTGCCTACTGTCCCTCAGTTCCCCGGGGACCAACCTGTTTCTTGTATATAGGGTGTAGCATATAAAGTGAGGAGCTCTGGTGTGGTGCTCTAGGACCAGCCCTGTTTTGCTAGCCACAAAGGTCGGCAGTTCAAACCCACCAGTCGCTTCTCGGAAACCCAATAAAGGGTTGCTGTGAGTTGAAGCTGACTCGGTGGCACTAAACAGCAATATATAGGATGAGGGATGCTCCCTGTGACCAGGGACAGCTATGCGTGCCTGTGGATGTATTTACGGTGCGGGAGGGTCACGGCTTCAGTTTTAGGTAGTCTGTGGGTCTGGAGATCAGGATGCAGAGAGGGCTCAGTGTTTCCTAGGACCAGGAGATGAAGAAGCCCATGTGTTGGTAATATCACCTGGTGGTTACTTATGGGCAGGGGTGTGGGAGGCAGAGTAATGCCCCTCCCCAGATGTCCACACCCTAATAATGCCTGGCGTCTATGAAACCTTACATGACTAAAGGGGCTTTGTAGATGTGATTAGAGATATGGAACTTGAGATGGGGGGATTATTCTGGATTATCTGGGGATGGGGAGTGGGCCTTTCCCAGTGGATTAGAGAGAGAGGAGACAGAAAGAGAAGGTTGCATGAAAAGGACTCAACTCACCCTGGCTGGCTTTGCAGGTAGCCGTGAGCTAGTGAATGGTTCTCTACTAAAAGCCAGCGGGGAAGCTGGGGCCTCAGTCTTATCACCCACATGGAACTGAGTTCTGTAAACCACCTAGTGAGCAATGAAATAAGTTCCCCTCTAGAACCTCAAGCAAAGACACAGCTTCACAAACACCTTGATTTTATGATTCTTTTTTAGGTCCATGGCTAGGTCTAGGTTAGGCCTAAGGTTTTGTGTAGTGTTAAGAGTTGGAGTTAGACTAGGGATAGTGCTAGGGGTAGAGGTAGGGGCTGGGCTAGGGCTAGGAGTCTAATTGTAGGGATAGAGCTAGGTTAATATTTATTTATGTTTGAAATTGATTTGATTTCCTCTTCATTTGGCAGTTCTATAATTATACAATACCCTCTTTTACTTTGGGGTTTTTTCTTCTGTTTTTGTTTTTTTTTAACTGCTGTCTCTGGTTCTCTATTTTCAGTCATGTAGGTTTGTTTTACTTTGTTGTTTTTGTTAAGTGCCGTTGAATTGATTCTGACCCATAGCAACCCTGTTTATGGTTTCCAAGGAGCAGATGGTGAGTTTGAACCACTGACTTTGCAGTTCAAATAACTTTGCAGTCTGACGCATTAGCCCACAGCGCCACACCAGGACTCCTTGTTTTACTTTGTTGTTAAGTGCCGTCAAGTCGGTTCCAACCCATAGCGACCCTGCATAGGGTTTCCAAGGAGTGACTGGTGAGCTTGAACCGCCGACCTTGCAGTTCAAACGGCTTTGCAATCTGGCGCATTAACCCACACCACCACAGTCTAAATCTGGGTTAGGACTCCTGGTGTGATGCTGTCAGATCAGCACTGAACTGCGAACCACAAGATAGGCAGTTCAAACCCACCAGCTGCTCCTCAGAAACCCTGTACAGGGTTGCTATGACTTGGAGCCGCCTCGATGACACTTAACAACAACATATCTGGGTTGACTTCTAGGTGGTGTTGTCAAATATGTTAATCTCAGGTACTTTTCTGCTATTGTTGGTTCTCCGTCCAAAGAAGTCACTTTTGTATTTTTTCATAAGGTTGATCTAGTTTTGACAAATTCTTTGAATTTCTATGGAAATGTCCTAATATATTTGCCAATGTATGTGAGGGTGAATTTTGCTGGTTCTTGGTTGACAATTGCTTTTTAGAGTTTTATATATGTCATCCCATTGTTTTCTTGCCTCCAGGGTTTTTGCTGAGAAATCAGTTTAGTCTTATGCTGCTTTGTAGGTAGCTTTTAGTTTATCCTAAGCTGCTCTTAGGATTCTTTCCTTGTTTTTGGTTTTGGTGAGTTTGCTTATAATATGTCTTAATGATTTTCTTTTTGGAAATATTCTGTTTGTAGTTTGTTCAACTTCTTGAATGCATATCTTTTCATTTTTCATAATGTTAGGGAAGCTATCCTCCAACTCTGACAGTTTTCTCTCTTTCTTTTGTCTCTTCCTCTTAATGGAATTCCAATCACGTGTAAATTATTTTTCTTGATTGTGTCCCACATAGTTCTTAGACTTGTCTTTTTTTTTTCCTGATTGCTCCTCTGGTGGTAGTGGTGGTGATGTGCCACGGAGTCAGTTCCGACTCATAGCGACCCTGTATAGGGTTTCCAAGGCTATAAATCTTTACAGGAGCAGAAAGCCTCATCTTTCTCCTGCCGAACGGCTGGTAGTTTCGAACTGCTGACCTTGAGGTTAACAGCCTGACTCGTAACCACTATGCTACCAGAGATCCTTGATTTCTCCTCTAACAGATGAATATTAAGAGGTTTGTCTTCAAGCTCACCAATTTGGCCTTCCATTGATTCAGTTTTACTTCTCTGCCCCTTCAATATATTATCTATTTCTGAAATCTTGGTATTAATCTTCTGTCTTTCTATTTGCTCTTTTTTATGGTTTCTAAAATTTAATTGATATGTTCCTTCAGTGTGTTCCTGAATTCTGATCAAGGTTTGTCTGTGTTTTCCCTGCAGCTCTCTCATTCTCTCAATTCATTAAAGGTACCTAAATCTCATTCTTTCAAATTCCATATCAAGTTGTTCTGATACCGTTTCTGGTATTAGAGTTTTCAACTGTGATTGGGTCACTTGTTTGAGCCTCTCTGTCTTGTTTCTTCACATAAGAGGAAATTATCTGTTGTCTCTGAGGCACTGGATGTCATGCTTTTATTTAATGAATATGTTGGTATGTTCTTAGACACTCATCACTTGTCTCCTGGTGGGTGTGTAGAGACTAGCAGTGCATATGCCCATCTTTGGTCACTGTCTGTGTCACATAGTTCAAGGTGGGTTTGTCTGATGCTGGCTGCTAATTATCTTTGATTAGGCGGTACAGGAGTGGGGTGGTGCTTGCCCAGTGGGTGGGCTGTATGGGCACAATTACTGCCTTCCCAAAACAAACAACAGCAGTAAAAGATTTGATGAGTCAAAGTTCACTAGACTCTAGAATCAGAGTGGTACAGACTCCTAGCTCCAGACCCAGATGGAGGCTGTGCAGGAAGGGGTGTAATGTACCACTGGCCCTGACCACTGGGAAGGTGCAGAGAACAAGGGAAAATCACTGATTTCAGTCTCAGAGCCCTGGACTGTGTCTCCCACCCCCTCGGGGCAGCCCGTGACCTATCCCCTGCCTCTGGCTGGATCTTCTCCTGAGACAGACAGCAGAGCCTGTTAGACAAGAACATGAGCTCCTTACAAAGATGGCCCAGGACAGGATCTTGGCTCTGCCGTGGCCTAATTGTGCAACTTTAGGCATTTCTTAATGGCCACATGCCTCAGTTTCCCCACCTGTCATATGGGGTCATAGTACCTGATAGGTTTTGACTTTTGAATTATTTTTCCTTTCAGGAGTACATGCTTCTTTCTTTAGGCTCAGCTTTTAACGCTTTTTCTGTTTTAATGGGGTGGTGGTGGAGGTCTTGTTAAAATGCAAGATTCACTAGGGTGGAGCCTGATACTCTGCATTTCTAACAAGCTCCCAGTAATGCCCGTGCTGCTGGTCCACACACCTCACCTGGAGTAGTAAGGTGTGTGCTAGAGCACACAGAGACGGGAGACTTCAATGGGTCCTAGGCCCAGAACTCACCTTTCCTGCTCTGCCCAGTTCTGTCCCCTTTGGGAATTTTGTCTTTGATACAATGCCTCCTCCCTCCCCCCACTTGCTCTTAGACTCTGAGTCCATCAGATGAGGCCTTATTTGTTTCCTTCATTCAGTTGCGATAAAAAACTAACAACTCTAAACCCACTGCATCAAGTCAATTTCTACTTACAGCTACACTCCAGGACAGAGTAGAACTGCCCCATAGAATTTCCAAGGCTGGAGCTCTGGTACCGTAGTGGTTATGAATTGGGTTGTGAACCACAGGGTCAGCAGTTCAAAACTACCAGCTGTTCCGTGGGAGAAAGATGAGGCTTTCTGCTCCCGTAAAGATTTACAGCCTTGGAAACCACCACCAGGAGAAACACTGTACTGCGAACTACAAGATTGGTGATTCGAGCCCATCATCCATTCAATGAAAGAAAGATGAAGCTTTCTGCTCCAGCAAAAATTTACGGCCTCAGAAACCCTGTACAGGGTTGCTGAGTTGGGACTGAGTCGATGGCACTTAACAACAATAATCTTTACAAAAGGAGACTGTCGTATTTTTCTCTTGAGCGGAGTGGCTGGTGGTTTCCAGTTACTGACCTTTTGGTTAGCACCATTGTGTTTTAAGCATTGTGCCACCAGGACTCCCAGCTGAGGCCAGGTGGGGCTTTTTGAAAGTGACATATACAAGGTTTTACAGAGAAGCCCAGACTGACCTGGAAATAGACAGGTTTAGAAATGGTAAGGTTTCGGCCGCTCTCTCTTTATCTTCATGGCACTAAAGTTGGGCCATAAGCCTCCGGGTTGAATCATCCTGTGGGACACCTTGCTTTGTCTCTTACCTACTGGGGAACCCCACCCAAAAGCCCCCCTCCAGTTCTTGGGGCTTCCCCCTCCTACTGTCTCCTCTCTGGACCGTCTGCCCTCCCAGGCAAGACCCAGAGCGCAGTCTCAGCCATCTTTCCCACTTCCCAGTGGCAGCAGATGCTGCCGGGCCATCCAGAACCTGGACCCTTGGCCAGTAGGTGCCATGGTTCTTGTCAAACAGTGTGTTAGACCTCAGGGCCAGGGTAGGGGCCGCCTTAAACACTGAGGCTGTTGTCTTGTCTACGAAGGGCGGGGCTGGGTGAAGGAGCTTTGTGAGTGGGAAGAGGAGACAACAGAGGACAGCAGAGTAGACTGGGGAGAGGATGAGAAGGTAGGCAGAGGGAGAGCAGTGAGGGGTTCTGGGGTGACGGCTGTGCCTGAGGCATAGGTGATGGACTGAACTTTGGGGACCACAGACAGTGTTTCAAGGACCCTAGATGCCACCACTGTGCAGTGTCTGGCTGGAAGTGTCTGAGATGTTGTATCGTGTCTCTCATACTAGAGGGAAAACTGGGGTGCTCTTCTGGATCCTGGACAGTGTTCTGGTGCCTGTCAGGTGCCTGGTACTTTCGGGGGGCTGGCAAGAATCAGCTGCTCTGGATTCAGATCCTGCCCCAGCTATACAGTGTGACCATGGTCATGCCTCTTCACCTCCAGGGCTCAGTTCCCATGGTAATAGGGCCTGATGGGGCTGCTGGTTTCTGTAACTGACTAGTACTTACACTGCATTAACTATGCATTGAACTGGCACCATTTTCTGGACACTTGTAAGATGATGATATCATAGGCAAAAAAAAAAAAAATCTCCCAGTGTCCCCACCAGAGAAGGCTAGCCAGAGTGGCCTAGGGGAATGTGGGGTGGATGTTGGGTGATGAGGTTGAGCTGTCCTGCTCACATCTGAAGAAGACTGAGGCCTCTGGTGGCAAGTCACGTACTGCGTGTCTCTCCCTTCATTTATACAGAATTCCAGCTGTTGAAATTCTGTATAAAAGAGCTCTGGTAGCATAGTGGTTACGAATTGGACTGCTAACCTCAGGGTCAGCAGTTCAAAACTACCAGCTGTTCCATGGGAGAAAGATGAGGCTTTCTGCTCCCGTAAAGATTTATAGCCTTGGAAACCCTGTACAGGGTCACTATGGGTCGGAACTGATTCCACGGCACATAACAACAACGAGTGTCCTTTAGACACCCTTAGAGGCACTGTAGGATAAGCACTGGACTGTTAACCACAAGGTCAGCAGTTCAAACCCAGCACCCACTCTTGGAAACCCTAGCTATGAGTTGGAACCAACTTAGCAGCACATACACAAAAAATCATACATGTGGTTTTACACATTTTTCTTTCTCTTTATGTACACACATATTATTATAGGGAAACCTGTGAGAGCCAGAACTCGCGGGGATTGCCTTGTTTTTCTGGGTCTTCCCCATTTTTTGCCTTTAACAGTCTTACTACTTTTCTATCAGTAGAAAAGATTTGGGGTTTCCTTCTCTGATAGGTTTTTGCCTTACCCTAGGTTCCGGCTTTCACAGGTATCACTGTATATTCTTTTGTCTTACTGAACCATTTGCTGAATAGTTGCAGAGATTGATAACCTCCACCCCTAAATACTGGAGCATGCTTCTTCTAAAATAAGGACATCTCTTAATAAACAAATGAGGGGACTCAGGGCTATATCTTTAACACTGATATAATATTGCTGTTGTTGTTATGTGCTGTCAAGCTGGTAACAACTCATAGCGACCCTGTTGAGTTTCCAAGGAGTGGCTGGTGAGCTTGAACCGCCGACCATGAGGTTCAAACTAACCTTGCAGTCCAGCGCATTAACCCACCATGCCACATCAGGACTAAGTTCATATTCAAATTTCACCAGTTATCCCGATTTTGTCCTTTATACCAAACCTTCCCTTCTTTGCTATTCAAGATGCAATCCAGACACCGGTCAAAGTGTCTCTTTAATCTCCTTTAATCTGGAACATTCCTCAGTTTTTCTTGGTCTTTCACACATTTGCATTTGTTGTTGTTGTAGGATTTAAAAAACAGGTAATTATTTTCTCTCACAGTATTGGAGGCTAAAATCCAAATCAGGGTTTCAGCCATGCTAATTCCTTCTGAGGGTTTTGAAGAGAAAGTGTTCCAGGCTTTCTCTCCTAGCTTCTGGTGGCTGCCCAGCAACCTTTGGTGTTCTTGCTTGTAGTCAGACGCTTATGTGGGAAGGCAGTTTTCTTCGTTTAGGGAAGGAAGACAGGAGAGTTGGAGCCCTGAAGCCTCCTCTTCTCTTCTCTCAAGGGAAGAGTGAAATCTAATAAAGCAGTATTTCTAGTATGTTCCGAGAACACAAGGGAGACAGTGAGGATGGAAGGAAGAATATATAGATTACATAGTTCATCCCACAGGGCCACTTTCTCTGTCAGGGCCTATTGTGTGGATGCTGAAAATGTGGAGATAGGACATAGCTCCTCCTTCCCTCCATCCCAGAAGTGCACCATCATAAATCTCCCTGGAAACCTGCTTTGGTGCACTACTTTTTTCCCACCAGGGTGGACAGAATGATTTTCTTCTCTTGAACCCCCTATAGAAATGGGCTTAACTTTTAAAAAACCCCAGAAACATATGGGGAACCCTGTTTAAAGAAAAAACAGATGAAAAAGGCTGGAAATAGTGAACCTTGACTTGATCCCTACTTCACACCATGTAAAACATGAATTCCAGAGAGACTGCCAACCTAACTGTCAAAAGTTAAACAGATCATCTAGAAGATAATGTAGGAGAATATCTCAATGACATTAGGTTGGGAATATTTTTTCAAGAGGACCACAAAAAGGGTATTCATTCATTAACCCTAACAGAAAAGATTGATAAATTGGAGTTCATTAAAATTAAGAACTTCACCTCAACAAACGCCTCCATTAAGAAAGTGAAAAGACCAAGTGCAGAATGGGAGATGGTATTTATAATTATACACTTATCCAACAAAGGACTTCCATTGTACCAAAAATATATAGAGACCTTCCACAAATCCATAAGAAAAGTCAAACAGTCCAATTAAAATGGACAAGGACTCAAATAGACATCTTCCACAAGAGAATATTCAAATCATTAATTGTTGTTGCTAAGTGCTGTTGAGTCTTTTCTGACTCATAGTGACCCTGTATAGTGGTTCTGAGGCTGTAAATTGTTACAGGAGCAGAAAGTCTCATCTTTCCCTTGTGGAATGGCTTGTGGGCTTGAACTGCAGACCTTGTGGTTCACAGTCCACTGCTTATCCTCTTGAGCCATTAGTAAGCATGTAAAAAGGTACCCAGCATCAGAGAAATACAAATAAAAAAACACAGTGAGATATCACTATACACCCACCAACATGGCTAAAATTTTAAAAACTGGTAATGCCAAGTGTTGACAGCAATAGGGGGCAACTGGTACTGTCATGCACTGCAGTGGCATGTCAGTCAGTGAAATTGCTTTGGAAAACTGGAGAAAAGTTGAGCATACACATACTTCATGACCCATCAATTCCACTTCTTTTATATGACAGAGAAGTGTGGGTGGCAACTGGATTGATCCAAGCGAGAGCTGATGGTGGCTGGGACCAGGGTGGTGGAGGGTTAGGAAGATTGAACTGAAGAGGGCAAGAATGTTTACAGAAGGGTTATATGAGAGCAAGAGTCAAGGAAGATGCCAAGACCTTTTACCTGAAGGCATCTCCAATGGAGAAGATGGAAGGAAGAGCAGGTTTGAGGAAAATGGAAAATGAAGAAGTACCATTTTGTTTTCTCTTCTATAGTGTGAGGTTTGGCTCAGGCTTGGCTTTGGCATCCAGTGCAGACCAGGCTTTCTGGGGTTGGAGATGATAGGGGAAAATGGATGTCTAAGACTCTCCTGGCCTCACCAGCTCTTAACCTATCTGGTTCTCTAGGATCGAGCCTCCAAAAACACCTGTGCTGGAGATCCCAACCACTACTATAGCGAGGCTGCCAAGAAGTGCTGTTACCGCTGCCCCTCAGGTGAGTTGGGGTGCTGGGGATGGGGAGAAGGGGTGGTATTTGTCCTCAAGTCATATGCTTTGGGAGGACTGGTAAGCAATGAAGATCGGAGCCAACATCATCTTTGGCATGATTGGTCGAAGATTTCTGAAGTCCTACCTCAATGGCCCAGGAACTAGAAACTCTTGGAAGGAAGGGTAGGGCTGGTGGAATCAAGAGAATGGGCTTATTGTTACTACAAGGAAGAAAGAACAATTTTGTGTAATTTTGCTTTTACTTTATGTTATTGTAGTTGTTAAGTGTCACTGAGTAGGTTCTGACTCATAGTGACCCTGTATAGGGTTTCCAAGGAGCTGCTGGTGAGTTTGAACTGCCGGCTTGCAGTTCGATGCGACCTTATGGTACAGACAACTTTTTAGTTGTCTCTAATTGAACACAATTTGCTAATCTGATATCTGTGCATGCATTACATTATCTCATTGTTGTTGTGTACTGTCAATTCCAACTCCTAGTGACCCAGAAGGACCTCTAGTGGCATAGTGAGGTACTTGTTGGGTCGCTAACCACAATGTCAGCAGTTTGAATCCACCAGATGATGAGACTTTCTGTTCCCATCTACCATCCATCCATCATTTATCAATCTTCCCTACTGTCTACTGCTTGTTCTTATAGTGAGATCCTTTTTATGCTTCCAGACTTACCTCCATCGGTGGCCTTTCTATGGGAATTGCTGTGCTTGCTGTCTTGTGAACCTCCTGTGTACTTCTGAGTGTCTGGGACTTTGTGTGTCCCTGTTCCTCTCCCCACCTCTACCTCCTGAAAACCTGGCACCTCCTCTTGCTCTTGCCAGCCCAGTGCTGGGTGGCTCTCACACTACTTCTCAGGGGTCTTAGCCTCCCCTTCTGCCTTGTCCCAGCATTGGGAGAAAGACATTTCCTTCCCACCTTCCTTTGGGCCCTTTGATCCAAGTCCAGAGGGACCATGATAGAAAGGGAGGGTAAGGGGTAGAGTGACTGCCCAGGTTCCAGGTCACAGGGCCACTCCCCTAAGAAGCTGTGACGTTGGGAAGGTACTCCCTTCCCCCACCTCCTCTGTCCAAGGCTTCAGTGATGGTGATGGAGACACCCACATCCCTGCAGTGGGCGGGGCATATTGCTAGAGCTTTACTGACCCTGTGCTTCCGGGCAAGGGAGAAAGGAAAAACAAAAAACCCACAAAAACCCCTCCCTTGGTCTCTCGGGGAAATTTCTGACATTTTGTCAGCCCTCTGCAATCAGCGCTCAGTTGTGTGGCTGGGTTTGCAAGGGGGCGGATGGACGGAGGGAGGAAGCTAGGAGACCTTTGAGACTGACTTTTAGATGTCATCAAACTCTTCCTCTCACACCAGACCTGTAATCCCCTTTCTAGAATTCTTGACAAATGGTCCCTAACCCTCTGCTTACATGCCTTTCAATGACAGGAAACGTACTACCTCACAACAACAATGACTAACACTGATTGAGCACATACTGTGTGCCAACAACCTTGCAGTTGAACCTTTATAGGGACCCTGGGAGGTAGGTAAGGAGCCATCGTGGTAAAATGGTTTTGTGTTCAATTGCTCACTTGAATGTTGGGGGTTTGAACCTTAAACCTGGCAATCTTCCCTTAAGATTACAGCCAAGAAAACCCTATAAGCCATTCTACTCCAGCACATGGGGTTACTATTAATTGGCAGCCAATACCACTGCCAACAAATAGGAGATTGGTGTTATTCTTAAACTCCGTTGGCAAGTGAGGGAAAACAGTGGAGACTCAGTGGTAGAATTCTTGCCTTCCAAGCAGGAAATCTGGGTTGGATTCCTGGCCAGCGCAGGTAAGTGCAGCTACCACGTCTCTGTCAGTGGAGGTTTGTGTTCTGTTAGGATGCTGAATAGATTTTAGAAGAGCATCCAGGTTAACAAGGACTAAGCAACAAAAGGCTGACAATCTCCTTCCAACAATTAGCCCTGAAAACCCTGTGGATCATGATCTACAGCTATCTGATCATGGGGATGACGCAGGACCAGGCAGCATTGGTTTCTATGAGTCAGGGGCTGACTTGGTGGCAGTTATCAAGAAGCAAGAGGAGAAACTGGGACCTGGAAAGGTTTAGGGACTTGTTCTGTAGGGTAAGCATGGGATGGTGAACTGCAAGGTTGATGGTTCAAATCTACCAGTCGCTCTTCAGAAACCGTATACAGGATTGCTATGAGTCAGAAGCAGAGAATACTGGAAAGATGTTTACCTATGTTTCATTGACTATGCAAAAGCTTTTGAGAGTGTGGATAATGACAAACTGGACAACATTGTAGAGAATGAGTGTTCTGGAACACTTCATTGTGCTCATGAGGAACCTGTACACAGATCAAGAGGCAGTTGTTCCAACAGGACACTGAATGGTTTAAAATCAGGAAAGGTGTGTGCTAGGGTTGTATTCTTTTACCATACTTAGTCTGTATGCTTAGTAAATCATTCAAGACTCTGGATTATATGAAGAACAACATAGAATCAGGTTTGGAGGAAGACTCATCAACAGACTGCGATATGCAGATGATGCTACCCTGCTTGCTGAAAGTGAAGAAGACTTAAAATACTTACTGATGAAGATCAAAGATCACTGCCTTTTTTGGTCTAGTTTTGTTATAATTATCTTTTTAATTTAAACTTCTTATCATCAATTGAGTGAAGGTTTATGGAGCAGATCATCAGTTTTACACTCAACAAATCACACACTTTGTTTCATCTCGATGAATGCAGTCCCCTCCATGGAACATCATTTATCCCACATCCTCCCTGGGTTTCTTTGTTTTTTTTTTTTTTTAAATGTTTTGTTGTGAATTAAGTGATAGTTTACATGGGAGAACATTAGCTTTACATTCATCCTATCATATATTGTTTCATTGCCATGGTTACAGTCCCCTCCATGCATCATCAACCAACCAAAGGGTACACCCTGCAAGCCTGCCTACCATCCCCCCCCCCCCCCGCCCCCGGTTGTCAGCACACAGCCCCTCTCCCTCTCTGTGTCTGAAGTCCCCAGCTGCTCCATCTCTCCATGTCATCGTCTCTGCCTCCATCTCAGGCATCACCCTCTTCTCTGGGTAAAGATCACAGCCTTCAGTATGGATTACATTTCAATGTAAAGAAAACAAAAATCCTCACAACTGGACCAATAAATAACATCATGATAAATGGAGAAAAGATTGAAGTTTTCTGGAAGCAGAAGTCAAGAAATCAAATGATGTATTGTATTAGGCAAATCTGCTATACAAGACCTCTCTAAAGTGATCAAGAGCAAAAATGTCAGTTTGAGGATTAAGGTGTGCCTGACCCAAGCCATGGTATTTTCAGTAGCCTCAGATGCATGTGAAAGTTGGACAATGAATAAGGAAGACAGTAGAAGAATTGATGCATTTGAGCTATGGTGTTGGAGGAGAATATTAAAAGTACCATGGACTGCCAAAAGAACAAAGCTATTTGTGTTGGTAGAAGTACAGCCAGAATGCTCCTTTGAAACCAGGATGGCCAGACTTCATCTGTCAAACTTCGGACATATTATCAGAAGGGACTAGCCCCTGGAGAAGGATATCATGCTTGGTAAAGTGGCGGGTCAGCAAAAAGTGGAAGACCCTCGAGGAGCCGGATTGACACAGTGACAGCAGCAATAGGCATGAGCATAGCAATGATTGTGGGGTTGGTGTAGAACCGGGTGGCGTTTTGTTCTGTTGAACACAGGGTCACTCTGAGTCAGCACTGACTCAACAGCACCTAACAAAAACAAATGAGTCTGAACCAACTCAATGGCACTTAATAACAACAACAACAAGAATCGCCTCGTTCTGAATCCGTTGTTCTTCACCCCTGGCCCATACTGATCCCCAAGCATTGCTTCATGGGGGAAAGCAGTGCACACCACTGAGGGTTTGGCTGAGGTCACACATCCGTTTCCTATTTCACACTACATTTTTGGGACCCCACTTCTTTGTGACCAGACTTGCTCCCCACAGGAAAGGGGTCTCCCCTATAGATATATGAAACCTGTCTAGGTGTCGGGGTGGCCGAGGTTGGCGGAAGTCTGCGGAAGTCTGCGAGGCCAGGCAGGGAGATTCTGTCTGTTGGGAGCTGGGTGGTGTATTCACTTAGTTGAAGGAGCTGAGGGTTTCTCCCAGGGCTCTAAGCTGGTGTGGAGGGAAGACTTTATGAGCCCACTCCCATGTCTCTGGATAAGCCCAACTCCTCACAGAGGCCTGCATGTATGGCGTGGGGGCTGTTGCTTTGGTGCCCTCCTCGTATTCTGAGACTCTGCCCTGCAGAGCCCCTCCTCACATAGCCTCTTCACCCCTCTGAATTTTCATCTTTGCTTGACTAGCATCTCATCCCCCCTAAGGCATGACCTAGCTGTAGGCTCTCCCTATGGCATTCTCTTCTCTCTGCACAGTGGCCTCCCCTTGTCTCCTGCCCTTGGCTGAACTTGGCTGGTGCATAGTTGCCTGCCAAATCTGAGTCTCCTTCAGGGCACCAGGAGGATGCTTGATAAGCATCTCAGTTGTCATTCCAGAGTTCAAGGTGAAAGCATCAGATGGCTCAGGTAAATCCGGATATCCAGCTCTGCTCTGGGTACCCAAGGTCAGCCAACTGCTGTGTGCAGGGATGAGTCATAGAGGTTAGTGGTGGTGGTTATGTGCCGTGGAGTCGGTTCCATCTCATAGCGACCCTGTACAGCATTTCCGAGGCTGTAAATCTTTACGGGAGCAGAAAGCTGCATCTTTTTCCCGTGGAACAGCTGGTAGTTTTGAACTGCTGACCTTGCGGTTCACAGTCCGATTTGTAACCACTACACTACCAGTGCTCCTATAGAGGTTAGAGTGGGGTGCAATTCTCTGAGAAGCACTGCCTTTTGGGCTGGGAAGACTCTCCAAAATGTATCTACTGCAACAGGCTGGTATGATTTGGGGTAATTCTGCTGGGAGCCGTTGGAACACATTCCTGGGGGACCTAAC